AGAATCATATAAAGTGGAACTTAAAATATTAACTAGATCACAAAGTTTATCAGATATGTTACAGGAAGTAAGTTAGATTATTTATTAATTTAATTAATTTATCGTTGGGGTCCGTATTATTTCACCGACCATTTAAACGACTTCACGTTATTTGACAATTTATGTTAAACCTGTTAACTTGCTAAATTGTCACCAATGTGATGTGGGTTAAATGACTTGTGAAATGACCGTCGGTGAAGTTATATAGGTTTATCTTAATGTACTGTTTATTTTACATGCTTAATAAGTTCGTAGGTTATGTACAGTTAAAAAATAATGATCTTAAAGTACTTGGATTAACTCAAAACACCGCAACGAATGAGTATATGCTGGTATTTGATGAATTTGGTTCTAAAAGAGATCAACATTATGGATTATGTGCGAATTGCAACCGAAATAACACATCTGAAGCTTGGTGTCAAACATGTGACCCTCAAAAGACAACGCAAGGATGAACAAGTGGAAATATGAATATCGATGATTGCATTAAAGAATTTCAACTTAAAGCCACGAAATACGAAAATGTAATCGAATGGATTCCTTTTAATAGATTAGTTAATGTTCAAATGATTGGTAAAGGGGGATTTGGCTCTGTATTTTCTGCAACGTGGTTAGATGGTAAAAGAATAGTTTCAGATTGGATGCAATCACGTACACCATCATGTGTAGTTGCACTTAAAACTTTACCTGGCTCACGAAAGAATTTCTTAAGAGAAGTATGTTAAAATAATTTATTTATGAACAAATTTTAAATAAACTATTAACATTATAAATTTTAATAAGTTTAAAAATTACACGGAATTTAGACTAGTGGGTTATAATCTTGAAGTATATGGGCTAACTCAAGACGCTACCAACAATGAATATTTGCTGGTATTTCAATATGCAATTAGAGGATGTCTTCATAATTTCCTATCTTTAAATTTTAGAGATCTTAATTGGAAAAGTAAATTAAAGCAGCTTGTCGATATATCACGTAATTTACAAAAAGTACACGAAGCGGAATATGTTCATGGAGATTTTCATAGCGGTAATATATTGCAAAATCAATATGTTAATGGTGATCTAATATCTTATATTGCTGATCTAGGATTATCTAGAAAAAAGGATGATTCTGATTTAGAAGATGGTATTTACGGCGTTTTACCTTATGTTGCGCCAGAAGTGTTATGTGGACAACTATACAAAATTGCTGCTGACATTTATAGTTTTGGCGTTATTATGGCTGAGATGTCCACGGGAAGACCTCCTCATGATAATGTTGAGTATAATGAAACATTAGCTATTCAAATATGTAATGGATTACGTCCTGAATTTGCTAAAGGCACTCCCGAGTGCTATACTCAATTAGCAAATCAATGCATGGATGCCAATCCTCTTAATAGACCAGCTGCATCTGATATCTATAATAAATTATCAAGCTGGCTATGGATATTAGATAAGAGTAATGCTGCAAAAGATAATCATGAATTAGTAATATTAAAAACATTCCAGTCGACCGATGCAATTATCCCAACATTATCAACTGAATTGCCAATTTGCCCTAAAGATAAACTTACAAGTAAACTGCTTAGCTTTAAAAACCTTTCTAAACAAATTAATTCTTCATTTATTTCACCGCCAAAATCGTTAAATATTTGTGGTAAATAATTTACTCTTATTATTATATATACGTTCAATTTTAATCGGTACAATTTTACTTTTTGATTTTTTAGATTCTACCACTCTCGATTTTTCAATTTCTGATGACGATTATTTCACGTGTGTATTGAATAATTTTAATTTAATATTCTATAAAGATAATAATATTAATTTATCCTTTGTTTCTACGGCCAAAAGTGAAGTGTTATAAAAAAAATAAATAAATCTTATTTAAGTGATAATTTATTTCTAAAGGGTAAAAAAAATAGCATAAACAAAATCAGAATTTAAATAGTTTTTCGATAACTTCACCTAAGTCATAATACCATAATGCTAACAATCCATTTTTCTGAAATACCACTTCACCTAAGTCATAATACCA